TTCCAACTGAAATTAGATTAAATTGCGGCAAAAAATACTCGACAATGTTTCGCGAAGAATCTCATCAAAGACTGATTTGTTCAGCCGGATTTGGATGCATTCTCATGAGAATTAATGCACGATCATCAAAAAGAGAGATTGTTCATTCATCAGTTGGCTCAATTATTGTCAGTAACAGCTGAACCTTGCTCATTTACTGATCACAGCATTGTTCTCAGAAAAAAAAACAGTTGCTGGAACGTAAAGAACAGTTGTTTTGGGTGCATTCAGCAAAATCTGATGATAGATACTTGAAGCATTGGAAGCACTAGTGAAGTTCTTTTGACAAGAAAATAATTGAAAAACTCTTAAATGATTGAAGTAAAAACAAACAACGCGAAATTGTAGTACAATTAAGCAACTTGTTTGTCGACAAGAAGAATCGAAGCGGAAAAAATATTTCATTATCGCTGGCAACGATTCGAAAAAACACAAATAATTGTGGGTATTTGAAGTGATGCGGGATATTTATCAGTGATCAGCGATTAATTTTCAACGGTAAATGTAATCGGACAGCGATTACTGTAAGGTTGAATGTCAACCTTGTTTGTATTGCATGCATTCACAAGTTTTGCTCACGGCACCAATTCCATTTGATTGTCTTCTACTGTCTTCTATTCAAGAGGCCATTTATATAGGAAGAGGTATGTGCTATGGAAGAGGCCACTGATAGTGGAATTTTTTCGAACGATACACACTATGATCATAATCGTGGCAACGAAATGAAGGTTAAGAATCTCAGCTGATCAACCAGAGTTTCGAACGTACACAATTTTGGATAGGTTTGCGAACATTCGACGTGTCCACCATTTCAGTAAAAGGTTTCATGCATCAAAAATCGGACCGCATGCTTTAAATGGATGAGGATAGTATTTACGCACTGATGAATCTTAGAACAAGTTTTCACGGTTAACGCAAATTTTTAAAGATTTGATGGTAAGCGTTTCAAAATTGCATCGCATGATTGCAGAATTTTCTTCGGGATTATAAAGAAGAGAGTTGATTTTGTATGCGGAAATCGTGAAGATATGGTTAAGGCCACTGGCAGAGACGAATTCTGAGTTCTGATGAATTCTGAGTCTTCAACATGCTCAACGAAGCATGAAAGATGGGTGACGATCGGGTTCGAATCTCAACAGTTTGCTCAAAAGCGAACAGTGAATTTTTTAATGTTGCTCTATACACTAAGGGAATGATCACTGTGTTTGCTTTGATTGTTTTTCTATAATTGTGGAATGCATACAAATTGTTTCAACTACGAGGAGTTTCAATTAGTATCGTTATAATAAATAAGCAGATTAATGTAGCGCCTGTTATTTCTTCAGGATAGGATATAGTAAACAAGTCTTTTTACCTACTCACTCTCCTGACAACTACGGTGTTGTGCTGGAGGCCTTGATCGTTTTTTTTTTGCATCAGAGAGTAACCCACGATTAAGTTTTGATTGAGGAAAAAAATCGTTTCCAGAAAATAGAGGAGAGATCATACTTAAAATGTATGTAGTAAGGATTGGAATGCTCATTGGAAATCCTATTTTTATTGAGATTGAAATGAAGGCAGTAGTGATAAGCAAACAGTCGTAAGATTTGATCACGCAACATCAACAGTTTAAATTTTAGATTCCACCATTTTTTATTTTTTATTTGCTTCCCGTTATATGTTCTAAAGTAAAAACAACTTGAAAAAACATCTGATAAGGTAATCAATCATTTAATTTATTGCTCCAAATATATTACACATCTATATATCCAGCACACTGAAATCGAGAATGGCATTCACTTAGTGGATTGAAGCGAGTTGATGAATTGAAGAATAGTGCTCTGATGAAGCTCTAGGCCAATAAAATAAACTATCAATTCAAAAAAGAAAAAAATTAAGATTGATGGTGATCAATGCAATCGACAAACTTTTCTATAAACAATAAAAACAATATACATGCTGCTGTAATGTTCATCGAAATAAACTGTTTATAAGCAATCAGCTACAGTTTGAATGAAAGAGTGGTACGGCAATCGTTCCACTCGCTTGCATCCTCAAATTGTTATTTTCTGCATCTGCGCTTTTTGTTCCATGAAAATTGCCCTCTCAACAGCCCTGATTTCTCAGTTATAAGTTCATTCAATAGTGAACACACAATCTGGAGCAATCCACTATTTCAATCGATTTATAGAAGTTCGCTGGTCGACTTATCCGAAACAGCATTCTTTCATCACAATTTCGCATTCTCCATGATGACTGCAAATGTTTCCCATAAGAAGCTATTCGCAGTTTGAAATTGAACACATACCATTCTCATTCCTGTGATCAGAGCATAAATCTAATATGTTGTTCACTTGAATCGCAAAAACTGAATATCCCGAATAGTGTAGTAGCTCAATAAATATCCCGAACAATTTCTTCTGCCTCGCGATCTTTATCTCGTTTGAAACCTTAACAAATTTTCGTTGTCTGCGAATAAATGAAGTCGGGACGTATGTTCCAAGCTAGTCAAGCGTCACTCTGAGGTAACTGAAGCATCATTTCACTTACGCGCAACTCACAGGCGGTTATGTAAAATGAAAGTGCCAACGATTGATAAATTGATAAATTCATTGACGTTTTTGCTTATTTAAGGCGCATTCGTCGTTGATATTGCAAAAATGGCAAATCTGCTCGCCGGAAAATTTGGAATCGTCACTGGTAAATGATTTTGAAATTGCACTTTAGATAACACATCATATTGAACGAATGCACTGAAGTCTTTGGCATGAATCACAGATGCCTCTGATTGGTCATTAGCTAAGATTAACGAGATGAATGTCGAAAATTTATGGTTAATGATTTATGTGAAAATTCATAGTCAGCATTTAAAATCAAGCCTTCTCCTTGGATGCTTCTCCAAGCGCAGCAGTTGCGTCATCTTTCAGATCAGTCTAACAGGGAGGAAAATCCGAGCTTATTTTCCGTATCTACTTGTAAACCACTGAACTAGCAAATGTACTGTTCAGTCGAGAAGCAACAAATGATACTCGGACTTTAAGGTGGTGGCAGTGGCATCGGACGTGCCATTTGCATTGGACTAGCGGAACAAGGCGCTCATCTGCTTGTCGTTGATAAATTCCCAAAAGCTGCCGAAGATGTCGCCAAAGCTCTGCCGGCCGTCGGTAATTTATTATCGCAACCTGTTGTGTCCTATTTTAGGATGTGAATTTGGAGTTTTTGAATGCTCTCAGCTGAATAACAAACGATTTATGAATGTTCTATTTCGTCTCGAGAAATCGGAATACTTTTAGATGATTTCATTTATGTGCCATAATTGGATGATCGCAATGATT